TCCTTGCCTGTCCTCTCCTACCACTACGAAAAATTGGATTGTCACGTTAGACGACTACGGTTCTCCCATCTTTGGCAAACAACTTTTAGTTCAAGCAAGTCGTGGTACTTGTTCTATTGTTCACTGGGTCTCTCCTGATTGTGAATCTTCGCCTGGTGATCTCATTAGACTCTCTCCTTGCCCTGGTTGTGCTGCTCATACTCCTTTGCCTCCTTCCAAAAAACGGAATGCTGATTTAACCCTTTGTACGCCTACGGTTTCTCTACAACATTCGCTTATTCTGCCCACCATCAATGAGCGCATTAGACGTAATACTTCTGCAGTATCCTCTCCTTTTACCTGGGCTGATATCGAAGATGGTGTCCGTCTTTATTACAGTCGATTGGATTTTGATTTTGACTCTCCTCCTGATGATATTGTTGAAGTTTCCGCTCCTCTTATCACTATTGAATCCTCAGCTGCTGCTGTTTTTGCAAATTCGCCGTTGGTTGTGTCTTCAGACTCACGTTATATCTTTTTCACTGATGGGTCTCTTATTAATCTAGGCACTCCTAATGTTTCTATGGGCTGGTCTTGGATGCAAATCGTACCTGATGCTGGTTTTCCTAATTCCATTGCTACTTATGCACATGGCATCATTCGAGATAATCCTTCTTCTTCTCGTGCTGAAGCTGCCGCTATTTACGCAGTTTTAACCATTTCTCCTCGCGACTCAGAAGTTACTATTTATACTGACTCGCAAACTGCCATTGATGGCCTTCGAAGTTGCTCTTCCTATGTCTACTCAAATAGCCGTCTTTACTACAAAACAACAAATTTTGAGCTTTGGGCCATTATTGAACGAACTATCCTTACCAAGAATTTGACAGTTCTTCCTGTTAAAGTTAAAGCTCATTCTGGCAATTATTTGAACGATTTTGCTGACTCCCTGGCCAATACTGCCCATACCGCATCATCCAGTATTTTGATTTCTGGAATGGACCTTGCCTCTGCCCATGATTTCGTCTTGACTTACGACAATGACGCCGTTTGTGAATCTAATCCACGACACCTTCTTAAACAGTATTATCAAACGCAGTTAATGCGTGATTTGTTAAATTTAACGCGATTTCACTTTATTTCTTTATTATTATCTAATATAGAATATATTGTCGACTGGGAACTTACTTGGTTTACCTTGAATTTCAAGCCTTCTCATGATGCATCTTTTACTCTTGAGCATGCTTCAAGACACTTAACCTTTAAATTCAAACTTTTCTTGGACGACTTACCCACATTGGAAAAGCTTAAGCGGACTCGACCAGACTTATACATGGACGAATTAACTTGCCGTTCTTGTATCGATCGCATGGAAGACCTGATGCACCTTTTTATGTGCAAAAAACGTCGTCTACCTATGCAACAAATTCTCCAATCTTATCAAAATCATTTGATTTCTAAAATTCAAGAAGCTGGAAAATTGGCTGATATTGATCCTACTCCCTTTATTGCTAAACTCACTTCTCTTTCATGCTGGTCCTTTTCTTCTACAAATTGGTCCTCTTACGCCCTTGTCCGTGGTTGTTTACCTACACTTTTTATTGACATCTTAGTCGATTTGTCTATTCCAAGAATCTCTGCGATTAAGGTTATCGCTGCTATTCATAATAATTTTGTCCAAAAATTCAGAAAACGAATTTGGAATCCGCGTTCTTATGAGAAAAGTAGATGGGAAAACGCGATGAATATTACTTATAAGTTGAAAACTACTCCGAAGCCTTCTAATTTGCCATTGTCAACGTACATACCTTACTCATCTTTACCACCTCCGACCCTACACGATTCACGTGACTCCGGAACCGATTGGTTGAAGAACTCGATGAAATATGGTTTGCCTTGGTTTAATCACTTTTCGGGTTTTATGGGTCGTCTAACGGTGCTACTTAATAACAGCTTTTGCAGGATGGAGTGTCGATTTCTATAGTGGGCGCGCTATTCGTTATTTTGTTAGCATAGTTGCTTCTACTTTGGTTGGAATATATCAAGGGGGAAGATCTGGGGAAATTTAGTGTAATGCGATTTTTCTTTTTTTAGATTAATTTTTTACTTTATTTTTTCTTAGGAGACTATATAGCTTTGTTTTTAGTTAGTTTTATTTTTATATTTTTCTTTTTATTTTTGTAAATTGTCAAAGTTCGAATAAATTTAATAAAGATAAAGGCTACTATGCCACGTTTGCCTGGTTTTTGACCAGTGTAATGCCTGATGAGTTATTTAACAAAATGTTAAGCATCAGCATTATTATATTTCTTGATTTACATTTACTGCCAGCTGGAATTAATTCATAATTTTAAACTCCAGCCAAAATGGATATGTCGATCATTTCCTTTTTTAGCGATAGCCCTTCCACAAAAATTGATTTTTATAGGAGCCAATTTGGAATTTTGTGTAACCTAAATTTCCTTTTTAGGAAATTCAATAATTCCTGCCGGAGTTAAGTGCATAATTCTGGTTGAATTACATAGCTTTAGAATTTATAACATATTTATTCAGATTCAAATCAAATTCAAATCAGATCAGATCAGATTCAGATCAGATCAGATTTAATTGCCAGTCCGTCACTCAACGGTACAAAATTAATTTGTAGATCTGGCGCAGATTTTATATGAATTACGTTAATTGGCATATTTTGATGTCGATTTTGTCCCACAAGGTCACGTTTAAATGTAACGATGACTCACCAATCAATAACATTAAACGTGAATAAGCCACAAAAAAAATTTTTTTATCGTTCGATATAGAATTTAACAAGTTTACCTTGGAGGAAGTCATCATTCCACCTTATATTTTAGCTAAGATAAGATTTTTTATACACGAATTTTGCAAATTTTACGAGGTTTTTTTTTACACTATTGAAAAATATATATTATTTTTTTACCAAATTAACAAAATAACAAAAAAAAAAATATATATTTTTATTTTTATTTTTTAGTTTTTTTTTGGCACACCTTGATCCTACCGGTTTTGGAAAACACACCCAGGTAATGTAATACCTTTTTCTAGCAAATTTTTGAAGTATTTATGTTGTTGTGACATGTTTTTAAGATAGTGCAAACACCATTCCAGAGCAATAGTATTTAATATATAAAAGTCCGTCGAAATTAATTATAGATTGCCGATCATTTTGTACTGTTAAGTGGCGGACCGGCAATTAAATTAAATTTAAACCAATCTGATTCAGATCAGATCAAATCAAATCAAATTTAATTAATTTCAGATCAGATTAAATCTAAGTAAAATCTGATTTGATCTGATCTGATCTGTTAGGAGCACTAACCACTAGATGCTGAGATATTTACAAAAAATGATTTTTTGAGCCCTAAAAATTAAAAGGGCTAATTTACCAAAAGTATGACTTATAACCTGTTTTGGAGATATCTGAGGTTTTATTTCTAAAGTAACAGAAGGATTAGTACTATCATTACTTTATACTGATGCAGATCCTGCTATAACCTTTAAAATTAGAATAATCACATGATCAGATGAATAATATACTGAACAGAATATAGATAAACAATTAGCCGAAAAATAAATATTTAACCGATAGAAGAATATTTAACTGAAATAATTGAAGAATATGATGTTATAATTATACAATATTTATTTATAATTATTTATTTATAGTTTAGTTATTTATAGTTATTTATATTTAGATTAGTTATATTTAAATTAGTTATATTTAGTTTAGTTATTATTAGTTTAGTTATAAATAATTTATCATTGTATCAATAAAACTATTGTATCAATAAAATGATTATATCAATAAAAATTCATTATGTGAATAAGAAATAGTTGTTATTCAAAGATGGGCATAATAAATGGAACTAATAAATCATAATGAGTCATAGTATTAGAATTTTATAGAAAATTGTCATACGTCCCGAACTTTTATATTTATTTTTCGTACATATTAATAAAAATTTTTCCTTGGCAAAATCACAGTTTTTTATTATTTAAACATAATATAAATATAATAAATTCATCGCTAACATAAAATGTTTCTTTTTGAATCATGTGGGCGAGTTTGATTTATTGAATCTTCACATTGTTTATTAGATCAAACCCGAGTTCATCATATTCGAAAAGATTTAAACTTTTCACAGGATGGGATAGAGCATCCGCAGTCGTTATTTTTAGAGGATCTATTAATAACCCCGGCCAAGAGCAATATTTTTGTGTTGCTATAGTGATGAACTTTCCCCAGAGTTCTGGTATGTTCTATCTCACTCATTACGCAGTTCTGAATTACTAATAAAAAAACACATCCTGATTTACATGCAGATCGTAAGACAGGGCATTGTTAAAAAGAAATTCAAAAATGGAAATAGAGCGATCAGAATCTAGAATTTACAGATCCTCAGATAAACGGTAAATTTTTATTATACTACCGACGTTAGCGCATTCAAATTACGTGTATTGGTTAATCATTAATCCATTTTTGAATAGGAATTAGTTATACATGTGCGATTCGTCATCTACAGACCTCGATCCATTTCATTTTATGTTCCTTTTTTGTGATTACAATGATTACAATTGAAATAGGGGTTGTGAACTCAAACAAAGATGCACCACATGCGATCTTCTGTTTCGCAAGAGATCTTAGAAATAAACGGAAAATTTGCCGTAAGGCGCTACATAGCATTGCTCCATTAGTGTCACATTAAGTTGTCATAAAACTGTAATTCTTCAGATTTTCTTTTAAGCGCTATTATTACAATTCAGGGGAGAGACATTTGTTATTATTAGATGGGATCCAGGCCGTCATTTTATTGCTTTAGGTGGAAAAAATATAATTATGAAAAAATGTAATAATGACAAGTACACATAATGAAGCAACGTAATTTTTTATTTGATCTATTTAAATCGGGTTAAATTCTCTTTTCGCGCGTAGTAAGCATACAGTATAAAATAAACCTTTTTCCCAGCACATTTACGCAAGAGATTGCATATTAAAAAAAGTATATCTAAAAAACTTGATCCACCAATAAAATCTCTTAATAAAATTACTATGCCTAATCATGTCCAGTTTATCATTGCTCAACTCTTCGGGAGTCATGCCTTTTTTGACCTTAACCGCTGTTTTTTTGTTCATTGGTCCAGTGTTAATCATGGGGATCGCTACCATGTGATCAAATCTCAAACAAAAATTTCCGATGAACTTTCCGCACATGTCACTAGAATCGTCAATGATCTTGATACAAAAAATAATACATCGGAAATCGAAAGCATCTTCAGTAAACTTACCACAGAAATTAATACTAAAATCACCAATGAACTTTCCGCGCGTCTTAATTCTTCTTTCACTGCGGAGCTCGGCAAAAATAATAATAAACTTACCACAGAAATCAAAAAGATCAATTCATGTGATGCTGAGGCGCAGAAAATTTTATCGATGGTTCAATAATATTGAAGAAGCTTGCCATAATGATTTTGGCAACATTTTATCTGAATTCACTTCGATCAAGACCTCTATTGAAGCTCTCCAAAATGAAATGATCCAACATTATGCAATTGCCCAAAGGCTTCAGGTCGATTTTGATCAACTGAGTGTGGCCAACCATTCCTCTAGTAGTGAAAGTTCTTCTAGTCGATTATCTGATTTATCCCTTGAAGAAAATAGGAACCGTTTTAAGCGAGTTTTTGATTCGAATAAGGAAGAAGGGGAAACTTTAGATTATGCGTTTGAAACAGTTAGATGTAAAATTCGTCAACTTACTGGGGAAAAGATTGGGAAAGAAACTGTAAAAAATGTTTATTATGGTGGAGGAGATCCAAAGTTTAGAATAGTAATATCAATTATGAGATGGGTAGATAGTAAAGAGAGGTTAGTAGTAGTGCAAATAATAACAATAATGCGAGTAGTGCAAATAATAATGCGGAGTAGCGGGGAAGGAACTGCCAGTATATTTTGAGTTAGGGCTCGGCAGGCTTATCAAGCAGGCATGTTCTTTTATGCCTTTCCTCCCTTGAAACATCCTGCTACTCTATCATTTTTACTTTCATTTTTTCTTAACCGGCCAGCCCTTTCTCATGTATTACTTTACAAAAAAATATAATAAAGATTTCACTTTAAATTTTTTAAACGTGTGAAGGGGTAATGAAAAATTTTAGTGTTCAGTTAATTTTTCTGATAGTAGCTAGCAACAGAGTTCAGCGCAATACAAAAAGTAGAATCACAACATGATTGCATAATACATTATATTGCTATATTATTCAAAAAATACATTAGGTATTGCTAAATATTTGTAAGTAAAATTCCTTAAAAAAATCACGTTTTTAAAAACTTCATATATAAAATGACCTCTAATTTCTAATGCTCTATGTTTCAATTTTCGAAAGGGAAATAATCTTGTTAGCCGAATTTTTCTTTAGACTTAATTCATTATTCCTCATGTGAAATGCTATAACAGAAGCTTGTTGCCAAGAAAAATTATAATCTCTAGATTTAAGTTCACAATATACTGATGCAACGTAGTGATTAGGAACCTTTACTTCTGTGTCTGATAATTTATCTACTGATAACAAATATGAATTGATAATTCTTTCAGATGGAATTTGAACTTTGGTAAGATTTGGACCCCAAAATAAACGCATGATAGGGTCAGCAAGTTTAATATTGGCTTTTGCTTCTGACCCATAATGATGAAAGAAATGTTCTAATAAGCCCTCTAAAGTATCGAACTTATGAATCATAAAAGTAAACATATTTTCTAATTCATCAATTCTCTTATCTTGTTCTTTCATTTTCAGCATCTGTCCAACTCTGTTCCCCAATTTTACTATCATCTCATCGTAAAAAAAGTCTCTTAGATTTTGTCTTTCATGATTCTCCTGCAAATTTGTATCACTGGTGGACAGCTCATCTCTTTCTTGGATCCAAATTGGATATTTGCATAGATCCCATAAAGTACCTGTACGTGAAAACTCCCAATCAATAATACCTATAATTTTGATATCATTAGTTGAGGAACGTTCAACAAGCATATTCTGTGCATCGAAATCACTGTGGACAAGAGTAAAGGGTTTTTGATCTGCTGATTCATCAAAAATATTAGATAGCTTGGATTGAAGTAAGTCTAATTGCTTTACTAGATTTTTCACTCTAGTTACTGCCATTCCGTAATCTATTTTTTTTCCTAGTAATTCTTGAGCACCATGGATTTCGAAGAATTCCTTCTCTTTTTGAATCAAAGCGCCATAAAACTCTTGCAAGCTTTTAAAAGGGCCGGTGAAACTAGGAATAGAATCTCTTCCTTCAAAGTAAAATAAAGGATTCACAACAGGTCCTATTCGGAAAGTCGACGTCGCTGACTTATTACATGAATTAATTATATGGTAGAATATTATAATAATTATTATGTGCTGTATGTAAGGTTCCAATTCAATTATAAATGAAAATAAGATGTTATTACGCTTATAAATGAATCACTTAAAGATTGTTCATCCATGTAAAGACAACCGATCTCTTCGAAACGACATTTCGTCCATAACTCGAACAATGTCTCAACAATTTGGCTTAAAACGCACTTTTTTTGTTCAACAGTTAACTCATACCAAACTCGATATAAATGCTGTCCAGGTAGCCGTTCCATAAAAATGTAGGGGTTTTTTATGGGATTCTGCGCAGTACCATTCCAATCGTATACCGCCGGTACTCTGATATTAGTATTTTGAGCGACATATTTCATAGTCGCAATTTCGCTAGCAAATTTTGATGCAGGATGAGTTAGTTCGCGTGAGAGTCGAGCGATGCAATCCGGTCCAGTTTCGAAACGTAGCAAATAAATTTCATTATAGAGTCCTCTTGTTAATTTACGAGCGCAAATACAGGGTCTGTTTAAACGACAGGAAGCATGCTGTAGTAACACATCTATATCCAGATCCAGTGGTTCATCATCGTCTATTGTTTCGGCCGAATAATTAGACAATTTCTCACTTTCGTCGTTATCCATGAAAATAAATTGAGAAAAAAAACTCTCAAACTCTCAAACTCTCACAATACCGCAATTTTGGGTTTGACCTTGTACTACAGTACCAGCCTATAAATTAAAAATCAGTGATGTAACAAGATCAAATTATTTAGAGAAGCCCACTTACGAAATAATTCAATAATGCCAACAAGGTTCCCGTCCAAGCACCATTGTGAGACGTGTCATAAAATTACTAGAACCGCGTCCAAACAAGGACACTGCGTGAATCATGAATGGGTGTGCGGGAATCCAGCGCATCAGGGAAGAAAGTAAGTTATCTTCTTATCTTCCTATTTCAGTTTTTTAGTTTTTTTTTTGTATCTAAAACAATCCATTGTATATAACAGATGGGTCATGAGACGGTAAGACGAATACCAGTGGTGTAGGGCTGTGTGGTGTATGGTGATATTTAGCAGTGTGTAACAGTGTGTAAAATAAGGGGTGTGAACCATACACAGGTGATGATTAGCATTTTGGCTCACTCCAAATCACGTGTTTGGCCCGTCGCGTTATTTATCGCCTGTGTAAACTGGCACATAGGAGACCATACACTACACATCTTCTTGACCCTACACCACTCATCTCCGTAGCACTCGTCATGAGATGGGACCAAAAATGTTATGAATGCGAAAGATTATTTAAATGTTTTGAATGTGATCGAAATAAACATTCGCGTGAAGTTGAAGAAATTGATGATAATTGAAGTTAATATCCAATCGCAGTGTGACGGTGTTGAGTATAATATAACTCTAATGTAAGTATATTTTGCTAGAGTTGTTTTATACTAACTATACTTTACATACTAGATAATGATTTTTTTATACTCTCTTCCTGTTCTATTTGCTGATGAAACAAAATATTTTATAACAGATAATATTGCAATGAAAGCTGAATGACGATTGGGAATGTTATAATTACGTTTGTGAAATTTATTTACCTGATATAAAAAATGCTCAATTTTTTTTCAGTTAATAAAAAATTATGTTGACCTGACCTCCACCATGGAAATCAGATTAACAGACATCATTTAAATGGAAGTTTCTTCCATTATTGGGTTGGGCGTGGAAGCCTGATTATGAGTAAAGAATAATGCAATTGACCGCAATTGCTGTTAAGCTGGTTTACGATTACATAAAGTAATTTTTGCTTCTAAAGTAAAATGTGTCTAGAGGGAAATAGATTCTTTGTAACTATTAATGCTTAACCAATACAGTCAATTCTGGATATAACGAACCTGTTTACAGAACCGTGTTGGTATAACAAATTCATATAATAAAACGCTATGTACCGCACCCGAACAGGCATATTAAGCCACATATTTGATAAATTTTGAATGGCATCCATTCATTTATATTCTCAAATTCTAGCCTTAGATTTTTGAAATTAGTGATATGACTATCAAAGAAATTACTTGTTCATGTCTTAATTTAAAATATCTCGATCTGAAAGGATGTGAAAATATTAGCAAAGAAGCCATAGATCGGCTCGTTTCACTTAATCCAAATACCCATGTCGAGAATTTCGTGAGTACTATAACAACTCCTGATCTGATTGGAGCACTTAGTGATTTACTTAGTCGATATTCCAATACATCTATAGCTATAAATAGTCAATTTCTGACTCAATCCACCTTAATATCGAGAGCTGTTGATAGAATACTAGCCGATCAAGCAGAATGCTGGTACTCTACTGATCTAACTAATCCGGAGCTGTGATCATCAGCGGTCCCTTTAGGACCAGGCTTGGAAGATTTTTTTCTGAGCCAAAAAAATATAGATTAAATAACCTGTTCTAGACGACTGGTATTAGCTGGATTTTTGACAAATATTTCGTGCAATTGTTGAGGAGAGACCCTCGGAAATAATGGAAGCCCCTCTCCAGTAAACATAATTCTCTTTACACCCATTTCACCATATTTCGGTAATATCACACCTAGATCATCTTCTAAGGGACCGTGGAATTCCTCAAACTTTCGGAGAATTATTCTTGCATTTTTATCAGCTTCTTCTGTTATTGCTTGATTAGTATAGCCGATAATACCAAGTTTTTCTTGAATTGCCATTACATCCTCTTTCAAATATAAAAACCAGTTATATAATTCTGAAAATGATATTTTTGCAGAAGCTTCGCAGGCTTTATCGCTTCGAAGTACCACTGCTAGAATAGGATTTCCAACAATGCCGAGCATTTCCTGTATTGGAACCATTTCTTCCACTAAATGTAGAAATAACTTATATGAATCGGCAAGTGTTTTTTCTATCTTGCGATTTGTATCGCCATTAATACCTAATTTTTCCTGAATTGCTATTATATCCTTCTTCTTATATAAAAACAATTCATATATTTGAGCAAGTGTTTCACTTGGAACAGTTTTACTATTAGTATTACTTGTCATGATTGCTATAATAAGTCAAGGTATATTTAATGCGGGAAATTTTGAGTTCGGAATACTGCTCATCAGCCCGGAGTAGTGATCTTCAGCTCGGAAGAATTTGCTGAGCCATGCACAGCGCCTTTGGCCAGATTGTGCGACAAAAAATGTGGATCATCAATCAGGTCTTGTGCGACATATTAATTTTTGCATATAACGAAAAGAAAATATATATGCTAACCAGTATCTCTATTTTTTTCCCGAACAAACATGAGAAAAATGTGAAAGGAGGTCTACATGCAAGACAGGACCTTCCCTATAAGTTAATAGTGACGACAAAAGCATATATTATGAAAGGCTAAGGGACTTGCAATTCCGAGATCGCCAGGCATAAAACCAACTGTCTTTCCGGTAGATCAACATGTGAAAAGGTATGAGGAATCCGTTTACATATGCTTTCATAGAACTCTTGGCATCAGACAACAATACTAATTACGCCTCATACCTCCTTAACTTTTTTCCAGCAAGATATAAAGCATGTAGTGGTATGTGGAAGTTCAGCCAACTTTCCGCAAAAAACTTTCCCAGAGAAAATAACGCAAAATAAGGTATGTATATGCCCTAAATTATGTATGTATGGGAGGGTTCCTCTGGGACCGAGTGAGTTTTTCTCATCATGGGCCTTGTATTTAGGAAAGCAAGATGTCCGATAAGACCAAGGAATCTGATAAGACCAAGACTCCTGACAAGCTTGACAAGTTTCTCGCTAGTGGGGATATTACTCTCAACTGTCTCATTTCTGATGAGGGAGTGAACGATATTTTCGAAGTAACGATATTTAACGCTAACAACAATAGAGTCTCTTCTCTCGCGGAGGCAATCAGAACCCGTCGTCTAGATCAATTTCAAGATATAGATTCGACCAATTTGGCTTTATATAGGGTCGCATTTATAGCTGATAGTATCATAATCAACAGCTTAAGAAACATCAGTGAATTTGAAGTAGGAGGTGCAATAAGAATGGAACCGCAAGACACAATTTTTACTCATTTTCCTATACAACCCAACGTATCTTTGGTGGTGAAAAGGGAATCAATGTTATCGTATACCCTCCCGCTGAAGGGGTGCCGAAGGCACTAAGCAAAGATAATTAGATTTTTTTTATTCACATCATATAATAGCGATATAGTCTCAATTTTTATGTAATGTAGGCCAGCTACCGGCAACGTTTTTTATTTCATAAATAAAGTATTATTTTATTGAACGTATATGAAAAACGGGTTACGTGAGATGATGCAATGGCTGTGCTACATAAAAACTTATATTAACGCTCAGCCCTTTCCTTCCCAAACAGAAATAAATTTTTAACTCACTCTGGAACGTAACACTATTTTTTATCTGAGCCCAATATCTCTTAACACTATGTCTGAAACTAGTACACCTTATACTCCAGCTTCCACCTCCACTACTGTAGCTGGAAATGAGACGGTCTCGTTGGCGGACGAAATTAAAAATATAAAACGAAGGAGCTTATAGATTTCTTGCGTAAGGAAGAGGACTTGGAGCTTAGTGAAAAGGTTTTCGAAATTTTAGAAAAGTAAGAGGTTAATGGTCGTGATTTCCTCAAGACTACCAAAGAGAAGTTTCTTAGTTATGGAATGCCAGGTGGTCCTGTGAAAAGACTTGCTGACTTCGCTAAGGAGTGTAAGGATAAAAAATCAAAAGCGTTCTCATCATACCGCAGTTTGAAGGAAGTATTGAAAAAGTTTGATATAGATGGAAATGGTATAGGCACGATCAGACAATTTCCACCGGTGAGTCTGTCAGAAAAGCGGGAATTTCATACACAGTCATTAACTTCTTATTCTTTATAGGTGACCTACAAACTTGAAGACGAAGAAGAGGAGTTACAACAATGTATAAAGGAAATAAAGCGCAAGTTAGGACTATGCTCGCAGATAGTAACAAAGCCATGCGTTGTGAATACATTTCAACCATTCTCCATGCTTCGCTCTATATCGTCAAAAGAATAACTGATAAAGAGCTTACCTTAGCTCCTCAGCTCGAAGTTGTTGGTGAAGAAAGTACTGGCCGGGTTGACTACGCAATCAAAGCCCTCGAGGAACTTCTTTGCATCACGGAAGGGAAACTACATCAAGTAGTTATGGGATTTGCGCAGAATCTGATCCAGTGCGAAAGTGCCTTACAGGTGAATAAAAATAAGAGAAAACGTAAGTCGGGTGAAGCATTTGGGATGACTACGACTATATCTATAGGATCGTTACAACAGCCACGGAATGGTATTTCATCCTTTTTGCCTCGGACAGAATATTATGCACAAGTAAAAGTCCTCTTAATATCCGCTTTACTGAGTCTGCCTTGGAAGAAGGTTCGGAGGAAGAAAAAGAGTTGCATAAGAATGTGAAGCGAGTAATGGAGGTTATTGTAGGATTATTAAAGGATAGGTAGACGTAGAGAAGGAGCTGGCGATGAAGAAGCAACGGGTTAAATGGTATTTCGAAAAAGAATAATTATGTATAATAGTCCGCCACCAGTAGCATAAAAACTTCGTCGTGTATCCCGGGCTACGTCCCGAACATTTGTATTTATTTTCGCATGCATTAATAAAATTTTTTCTTGGCATTTTTCCGAGACCGCGCAGTTCCGGAAATCTGATGACTTTATAACCTATTTCTCAATGACACAGTTTCTATATAATTATATATATTAACTATTTTTTGAATATTTCACTTCTTATATAAAATTTATCAATAATGCCATCCGAGTTTGAAGTATTAAAACAGCGTATCATTGAACTTGAGGCTAAGAATGCCAAGCTTGAAGCCGAAAAAGCTGAACTTTTAAAGCGGATTATGGAGGAGAATACTAGACGCGATGTTAGAGTTGAGGAACTGGAGCAAAAAAATAAGGAGCTTGAGACCAGACTTGCGATAGTGGAACAGGCTTCCTTACCAGTGGAAGAGCAGACGTATAATGATAATCCTTCTGACAATAGTACATCTAACTTTAATTCAGTTACAGAGTATCATGAGAAACCATTGGTGGATGTGGAAACAGATAATTCCTTTCCTGAAGTGATTTGCTATAATAAACAAGAACTGGTGGCGATGGTACCTGCCAACTCTGCGAAGCGCCTTAATGGCAAACCATTGGAAGAGAAAGATATGGATAGTTTCTTGCTTGAGGCTCATAAGAAAATCGTTAGTAGTGAAATAAAGCAACGCAATAAGGAGAAGAAATTTTTACGTAAATCGGCTAACCAGGACAGCATCTCCGATACTGCTTATATATCAGAAACTGTGGTGGTTGCTCCTCAATTGGTCATTGCAGATACCCCTCAGGAAGAAATTCCCACGGTAGATTAGAAAGTGAAGCACGATATAAAAGCAGTTAACAGGTATCCTGAAAATTCATATGAGGATGTGCATCGGATGAGTTTAGAAATTTTGGAAGAGTTCGAAAAAACCATTCCCTCAGGGAATGATCAGAGTCATGTGACTTCAGTTAAGCCAGATCTCGAAGTATCCATGGAGCAAGATGATGAGCAGGAATCGCTAGATAAAAATCAAATCATAGAACAGGGTCTAATACAAGAGCTGTGTGGTACCTTTGACACCTGTTCACCCATATCCAGTGATGACAATATCAGCTCTACCAATACTAAGTCCTCTTGCAATGGATCAGAGAATATGATTTTGGGTTCTGCCCAACACTTGTCCTATCTATTTGATACAGCAATAAAGTCTGGTCAGCAGGAAATCTTAGACTGGTATAATTATTCACTTGAATTCGAGAGCAGGGTAAATGCTCTTACTGCTGATGGTAGAATCAAAGATAAAACGGCAAGATCAAAGATTTACAAGGAAATGAAACCATTTCTCCCTGCTAAAATCACACAAGATAACTTGCGCAAGAAAACTCTTAGGGCTAGAAAACACCTCACGTTATTTGGAAAAAATGGAGTTGGGATAGACAAAATCAAGTTGGTCTCATATAGCGCAACTGAGATTTCGAAACTAACTAATGCACAAATCCAAAATGTCATAGATCAAGTAAAAAAATATATTAGTGATCATCAGTGTCATGTGACTTTGAAAACCGTTCCCTCNGTGTCATGTGACTTTGAAACCCGTTTCCTCAGGGAACGATCAGATTAAGGATGAGATGAGTACATCGGCAAGTGTATCATCTGCATCCCAATCTAAGTCCGATCATTCCTATTTTCGCAACAAGATATTGGATCAATATCCTAATCTATATAGAGAATGTAGTATTGAAAATTTTGACTATTATGGGATTACTGATGCGATAATATGCGGGGACTACATCTGCCCATTATGCAAATTAGGTCATGATGATGAAGAAATAGAAGGTACGTATAATACCGGATCTTACTTTATTAAATGTGAACAGCGTGAAATTGAGATAGTTGCATAGTCTGATCCCTCTGGCTGGGGATCGTCTGGGAATTTTAATCTTTTTTTTCGAATGAATAGGTCTATATGAGAAAAGGGATTTAAATTGTTTGCAGTCATATAAAAAGGAAAAATGACAGAGTCTAATAAAATACTAACCCCCGAATATCTAGACTGGCATGCCAAATTAAGTGGATTACCAAGCGTTTTGACGGATAAGATTCGTTCCAAATTATACAAAAAATATAAAAAACAAACTGGAAATGAGCCATGGCAACTATCGGAAGCTGTGATAGATATGTTAGCAGAACCTTGCTTTAGCGCCTCCGGTCAAGCCTCTGATTTCAAGCCTATCACTTTCGAAGCCAGACCCAATCCAGAATTAATTATCAAATCCGTCTTAGAGCACTTCCCATACTTGAAATTCCGAAATAGTTTTAGAAGGATTGATAATTATGATTTTACATCACCTCAGCCGTAGAGCTCACCATGTCCTATTTGCGATGGAATACATGGGAATTATGGATTACATGGCGAATGGTACTGCGAAAATGGGAATCAGCTCTCTTATGATCCTGAATTAGCGAAGTTGTATTCTCAAGATAAGTTGGAATATTGTCTTACCTGTAACACTTCAAACAATAAATTCAAGTTCACGATTGTGGCTTAGACTGGTCATGTGGCCGATCACCTGAAATGCGCAGTACGATAGTGGAGAAATTCTTGCTGGCCTTCCTACTTATAGTCGGTTAAAATTATCAGAGGTAGAGTTATCTTTCTCACCTTGCAGATTGATTGGTAGATCTACTCTTTAAATCCTGCATCTATTGGTTGGAAATGAGAAGAGAATTCACGTATATCATATGATTAGCTGATAGATTCTGCTTCTATTGGTTGGAAGTGTGAAGAGTCTTCACGATTATCATATGACATAGCATGTATCGTGGATACGTCTCCTTTGCTTCAAGCTAGAATAGAGAAATATCGTTCAAAAAAATAATCGTGTATAATAGTCTACAATCATAGAATGGCATCATATACCCAGGCTAGTCCCGCTCCATGTAATTTATTTTAGCTCAATGTATTGCAAATAAAAAACGTTTAGAGTACTGAGTGACCCGTGAAATGTAGTTAATTATTTTTCTCGTAGCGATTAGCAACAATCTTTTAGACCATACATACTAATTTTTTATTGTTCGAGCGTATATGCATGTTAATACAAAATTATTGGACAATAAGATTGCCAGCGAAGATTCAAGGACTTTTATTCTCAAACATTCTCGCATATTCTCAAAATTATTACGTATATTATTGTAAAAGGACCCCTTGATGATCTTTACATATGGATTATGAATAGCGTTAAATTCTTTATTGTTAAATTAAGGAGAAGCTGTTGATCAGATTTTCATGATGTATTCATATTAACGTAATTTTCTCCAAAAGCATATTCCAAGATCGATCCTGCAAATTGTATAAAAAGGTGATTTCCGGCTAGTGAATCCTTTTATCTGCCTCATGCAAGTAAAATAAAAATCAAGCAAAAAAATAAAATCATTGATATTAACAATCAAACGAACTTGCATTTTCCACAAAGTCATAATAAAGTAAGTTAGTTTATTGCTCAGCTAGCTTCTTGAAACATGTCATCACAATATTAATCGATTTTCCCACCTCTATAGATGTTTTAAAATAAAATGGACGTATTACTCTTCTTGTTATATATCGGCATTTTGATCTTTGCCGAGAAAATCTTTGACAATCATCACGCGTACAATAGGCACAGTGAAATTACTCACATAAATCTCGTCACATGCCTTAACATCACGCTTAAGATTGCTTGCCGAAACCTGTTTGGCCTAATGCCGAAAGGTGAAACCTCTTATATAGTGCCAAAACGCCAAAACGCCAAAACTGCGAAACCTGTCAAAATTGCGAAACTGCCGAAACATGCCGAAACCTCTATAATAGGTTTCTCCGTAGTTTTGGCATAGTTGATCATAAGATTTGCATATAGTTACGCCAAGTTAAACCAATTAATAATATAATTTAGATGATCAAATAATCTACAAATAAAAGATTAAACTTCAATATTTTACCGTCGTCTTAGTTCTTTTAAGCTTTATCTAGTGTTAGAATTTTCATTTCTAACTCCCATATTAATATTATGATATTACACGTTTTTACAGTTTTTTTTTAAGGGGCTTATATTCATTAAAGGAAAATGCGTAAC